GGGGGGGGGGGGAGGAGGAGTGTGTCACTGTGTTGGATCAAGAAATCGACTAGATTTGGATAATTTCTTCTTACTATCTGTTGGAACCTCATTTCTCTCCTAAAAGACTCTTCTGGAGAGTAATCTAATAGGGTTCCAGTTATTCTCAAATAGTAATCTTCTTTATTTTGAAAAGGTGGAGTTACAAAAGCTAGTTTTTGATATATGGCAGGTTCATAAGGTGAATGGGTGGCATTCTTGCATGACATGATGAGATCATTGAACTCCAAGTAAACACTTTCCATATCTTAGAACATTGAGAGATTATTGTTCTATGTATGTCTTTAACTAAACAAAACTAAAGATCCCTGTGGTGGTATGCAGTTACTATTGATTGATGATCTTCTTTCTTTCTTTCTTTCTTTTTATGCTATAATTAGCAACGTACCATATCAACCATTTAAATCATTTATGATTGCTTCCAAAACAGAAGAAACATATTAGGAGAGTTACTATACACACAAACACTCATATGGCATTAGACATCCTTTGATGTTCTCGAGCCTCCTGTGATCAGTTGAGCTGCACAGAAGCTAGTCCGGACATAACACACCGATGGTTAAAAAACACTAATTTGGTACTAAATATCCTGGTTGCTCTCTAGAGCCCTGGGATTAGTTAAAGTGCGCATGAGTTGGTTCGGGCACCCATGGTTTAGAAAAACACTCATTTGGTATTTAAATATCTTGGCTGTTCTCCACCAGGCCCTTAGGATCGGCCGAGGTGCGCACAAGATGATCCGGATACCTATGGTTCTAAAAAAACACTCATTTGGTATTAGATAACCTAGTTGTTTTTCAGAGTCCCTGGGATCAATCGAGGTACACACAAGATGGTCCAGACACCCATAGTTAAAAAACACTAATTTCATATTAGAAATTATGACTGTTCTCTAGGGCCCTTGGGATAAGTCGAGGTACGCACAAGCTCGTTCGGACACCCATAGTTAAAAAACACTCATTTGGTATTATAGATATCCTGGCTTTTCTCTAGACGCCTAGGATCAGTCAAAATGCATGCGAGCTGTCCCGGACACCATGATTAAGAAAAAAAACATCATTTGGTATTTAGATATCATGGATGTTGTCCAAACCCTTGAGATAATTCAAGGTGTCATGACCAGACACACATACTCATTTGATATTAGATAACCTAAGACCATGTCACAAATAGCAATAATTTTCTCTTTCATTATTATTGTCTTGGACATTTTTTTTTTAATTTTTTTAAAATAAAGAAATAAAAGTCAACTTCAATAACCAACAATTACATGTGAGTTTAATGATTTATTTAAATATTGATGCATTTCATACTCAACAATTTTTGTAGAGAATTTATAATTTAATAAATAATTTTTTACAAATTAAGATAATAAATATTCATTCTCTTTTCTTTACAATAACACTTATCCGATAAGAGCTTACCGGTAAAATTTAACACTATTATTTACGTACCGGGTGAGATTTTAGTCCACCAAAACGAAATCCTATGCAACAATTTATCCGGTAAGCGTTTACCGTGATAAGAGTCGTCGCCCTCACTTACCGGGTAAGATTCATGGTCCTTGTCTCGCTCTTACCGGATAAGATTTTTGGTTCTTACCATATTCATTCGGCGAGTTAACATGACTTGGTAAGCACTTACTCGGGTAAGTGTTTGATAAACGGCCCCTAAAAACACAATCCAAAATAAATTTTGGAGATATTTTAAATACGAATCATTTTTTGTTCTTTCTCCTTTTCCTCCATTCTGGAAAATGGTTTAAAGATTTTTATAAAACCAAGGGAAATTAATAGAAATAGTAATTTTCAGGCTTTGGATTCACCTTTTAGTCGTTTTTCTTTCCAAATTTCAATAATATTATTACCTTTGAATTCTCCAGATCCCTAGGATTAGTCAAGATGCACACAAACTGATCTGAACATCCATAATTAATACAAAAAGAAATTCTGATAAATTCCCCATAATTATTTGATTGTTTATTTAGTTTATGATTTACATTACAAGTTATGCAATTAAGTAGACGACAACCATACAAGGTTATCCACTGGAAGGAAATGGCACACCGGAGAGCTGCCAGGCTGGCCTCCGAGCACCTGGAATGCCACGTGGTCAGGATCCCACGTGGATGTATCCATGTGGCAAATACCAACACCTTCCACTCTTTCACCATTTTCTCCTCGCAATGCGATCTTAAACACCCTATTAAAATGACCTTTTTGCCCATGACAATAATAAACCAAATAAGGGTAAGCCATGGTATGACAAGCCATCATTTTAGGAGCGTAAATCTCCATTGGCTTTTCCATAAAAGTATACCTTTGAAAAAGGGTATGATTGGAATTCAAAATCTTGGTGGTCAACACCTTCGGTTTGACCACACCCAGAACGCCACGTGCCATGTCGAGCATGGACTCTAAGGACGTGGCACAAAACTTGATCTCACCCCCTTTCGACTTGAGCTCGCATTGCTTCAGTGTGGTTTCCATGGCTTTGGCTTGTGGGGACTCCTTAGAGAATTTGAAGAAATCGAGAAGGTACGGGAGTTTTGACGACGAGAAATGGATTGAATCGGCTTCATCTCGAGAGAGTAGCCGAGTATGGGCAAAATTGTCATTTCCAGCAAAATATATCATCATCTTTTTGCCAAGATATAAATCGTTGACTCTAAAGAACACATTTAGAGCAGGGTCCAATTCTCGATGTGCACCACCATTTTCTTCAATAATTTTTTGAGCACTTCCTTTAAATGAGAACTGTCAAATATCAAATAAACAAATTCAGATGTTATTCCTCTAAATTATTTATCCTCTCAATTTCAATTTTATCTGATTTCAATCGTATAAAAGCAGTCATATTCAAACTCAATCATAATCCAAAAACTGATGAATCTTTATATACAAATAACACCTGCAATTTTATAGACGATAAAAACTCGTATATTTTTGCAGTGTTTCATTCAGAAGATCGTTGAAAAAAATTTAAAAAAATTGAAATTTTTAATTCATATTTTTTATAAAATTGTGACAAAAGTGGATACCTGGAGAAGCAGTAGAGCATACAAGAGGGTAGAAACGAAGGCCATATCTTTTGAGACCTATTTTCCGTTTCATTTTCGTATATATAGAGAGACAACTTTTCAAATGCAACTCATTATATTTGTACAATTAATGCAATTTAATCAATTAAGATATTTATGGAAATGATGAAAATTTATTTATTATGATTTAATTATTTATGGAAGATGAATAAGGTTCATTAATTATGATCAATACTTTATATTAGGAAATAATCAATTTTTTTATGAAATCACATGTTTATCAAATTAAATGGACGGTTGAAATTAAATTTTATAAATGTAAATAATTGCATAATAACTCAGCTCTCTCTCTCTCTCTCTCTCTCTCTCTCTATATATATATATATATATATATATATA